CGTTACGTGAACACTGTTGCTAGGCAACTGACAATAAAATTTATTTCTTTTTTTCTTATTTCATTGTTTAGGAATAGGGAAATATACAGTTTTCTTCATGTAATTTTTTATGTAAGATAAGCCTCTAGCACGACTTTTGGTTCACTACTGTATAACACACATTTTTGTGGAGAATACGAAGATTTTTTCAGTTCTTTTCAAGCAAATGTATATGTACTACGTATGTTACTAAAGAGGTTTTAGATTGGCCAGTGTCCATGTGAAGTTATCGTCATCTCTCGGCGTGAAAACAGTATTTCCCTTGTCGGCGTTTTCATAGTAACGTGGTTAATAGGGACGCAGCTCTCGCTGCCGGAAATGGGTATTCTCGTCACTGTCCATCACATACTCACTCCCAACTCGTCCTATATGTCAGGATCCCTCGGCGTCACTATCAACGCAGTGGGGGGCCCTTTAGCGTCGATTTTCAACTATCAGGGAGTCCCATTGACTTGCATAGAGCGACACCCCCCCCTCTCTCTATTCCTATCGGAACCATGGATAACCAGCTATTTGTTTACGTGTTTAAAAAAGCACCAGAAGCTTATATACAGGGGTGCACATAACTGGTACACAGGTACGCATGCGCGGCAACAATCTGAAATGCGTACCGTCACTTGTGTCTCAAAGCGCATTTGCGTACCGACGTACTTGTGAAGCTTTTCCAGAAGGCGGTTAGATCACCGGACGACAGAGTCGGTCTCCGTGTGCACAGACAGGGCTGCTGTTAACGTCGGTCTGTACAACGGAATTGTGCCAAAATTACGCCAACCAGCTGCGGAAGGAGACTCCCCCCCTTCACTGGAGAACTGCGCTAAAACAGCTGATCACAACGTTCACGCTGTGTGGTCACGAAGTACTCCACTAGCACCCACCGCCCCCCCCCGTTGACGTTCGCGATACAGAGGGCTTCATCAAATAACTTTGAGTGGAGCCAGAAGTTGGAGTACCAAACACTGACTCCAGGTACTCATCTGAGTACCTCACTGAGAAAGTTATGTGCACCCCTGCTTATATATAAACATCTACGTTTTTCGTGCCCCACCACTTTTGTACATATAAAAACGCCACTGGATCTTGCCAAGCAACAGTGTTCACGTAACGTACAACACTTGAAAGCCAATTATTATCATAGATGTGCCGCAAATATGACTACCAATTTAATTTGAAGGAAGTAACGTTAACGTTAATAGTACCATTAAAATAAAAAACGTACTTGGGGTCCTTGATTTTGCTCCATGTTGGATAGCGATCCTCCAGACAGTTTTTCTGCTCCAGCACACGGCCTCCTGTCGGTGTGCTACGGCTACTATTAACGTAGCTAGGTGCTATATATATATATTAACTGTGCTTTTTCCCCCCAAAAGTTGTAAATGAAACAAGTGAAGTACAAAGTATAAGCCGTGGAGGGCGGGAGTTTATAAACCAAAGAGTAACCGCCCTTACGGAGAGAAAAAAACAGAGTGCTGGATCTCAAAGAAATCAACAGAAGGAGACAGACAGGAAGTAAACACTTACGGGAACAGCAGAAGAAGACAGAGAAGAAGTAAACACTTACGGGAACAGCAGAAGAAGACAGAAAGGAAGTAAACACTATCTGGAAAAGCAGAGGAAGACATACAGGAGGTAAACCCTAACAGTAACAGCAGAAGAAGATAGACAGGAAGTAAACACTAAAGGGAACAGCAGAGAAGACAGACAGGAAGTAAACACTAAAGGGAACAGCAGAAGAAGACAGACAGGAAGTAAACACTAACGGGAACAGCAGAAGAAGACAGACAGGAAGTAAACACTAACAGGAACCAATATCACCCAGCTGCAGCCGCAGCAAGACGGTACACGACACGCCCCCTACACGACACGCCCCTACACGACACGCCCACTTGACACGACACTACGGTGGCTGAGAGACATTGATACCGTACATGGAAGATTAAAAACAAATTGCAAATGTTATTGTAGCATTTTAAGCAACTATTAGGCAAATAAATTAATAACGGGGGGTTACGTATTGTAACCCTAGTTATATAAGCACAGACGGAGCCCTCAACTGGACTCTATGGGTACTACTCTCAACCATGCTATGCGAGCATTCACCTACTGAGATACATAAACGTAGCCGGCCATTCGGGGCGAGCCTACCTGAATGCGCGCGCAGGCCCACAGTATATAAGGCGGCCACGCCTCCTGATCCTGTCATCCTACACCCTCTTCAGCGAGCGGCATAGGAAAGACAGAGCCCCAAGGTAGAGGGGTCCGCCTGTGCTTATATAACTAGGGTTACAATACGTAACCCCCCGTTATATCTCACACAGGCTCCGCCCTCTACTGGACTCTATGCGTATAGTGGGTGCAGCCCTGATGGATAACGCCCTGTCGACCCATCACACTGCCCCTGACCGGCCTTTGGTTAACAGACACATTTCTCTAAATGCCTGCTGCTTCTCCTCCTCTCTCCTCGGTTCCCCTCCTTGACTCCTCTGCTCGCATCTCCTGTGGGTGGGACTAAGACACGAGGATAGGAGTCGAGGAGAGGAGTCGAGGATGGGAAATTAGAGAAATGGTAAAACCTTCCACAAGAAGATAGACAGGAAGTAAACACTAACGGGAACAGCAGAAGAAGACACACATTGAGTAAACACTAAAGGGAACATGGTATGGGCTCTAGCAGTGTTTAACCTGTTAAGGCGGGGCTGCAGGCTTTTTTTTCACGAAACTGTGTCTCAGGGCTTCTTAACATTTAACAACCTATTAATGTGTCATACCCACTTAACGGGAAGAAACTCAGCTAACTGACGATATGAACCATTTTTAGCTAAACGAAACACAAGGGTAATACCAAGCCTCTGAATTAGCACTAAGCGAAAAAATGCTAACGCACTTAGCACAGAACTCACGGTACAAATATTGTATTACTTATCGGATCTGCACAAACAAGATATCAAATTAAAGCTGAGATTCCACAGATTCTAGAGGTATAGGTATCATCACCAGAACTCAGGGCAGCGAAGGCAAAACCAGACAACACACAACGTAGCTTTATGGAGCCAAAAAGGCCAATACGTTTTACCTTTGCTGTTTTCTGATCAAAGGTTGTGTTCAATGGCATTAAAATGCATAAAAACGCTGCTGAAGGTTAATTAAATGTGTCTGTGTCACTTTGAAATGATTACTGATAATCCATCATAACATTTTTGTCAAAAACTGAGATTTCATATAGAGTGTGTGAGAGCTACAACCCAGCTTCCGGTTTTGGGCATTCTGGCTGCGCATCACCAATGGGTAATGTTTAGATGGATTTAGGAACTTCCCTCTCGATTCTATTGGCTCTAATGGTTCAAAAGAGGTGTCAATCATCAAAATCGACCGAGGGGGGCCAGAGATATGGCAAATACACCCAAATGTTTTTTTTGTGCTGAATCTCTCTAAAAAGGTCAAATGTCACTTGTTTTGCAATCTTGATACAGGGTACTTATTATATGTTATATTTTGGATTCCTAAAGCTTTTAGTCTACTATCCCATCATTCAAGGGTGGTTTTCACTATAAGTAATGTGTTTTTTTGGACGGACACTACAATTTACATTTTTTTACTATGTTCAATCTGAATTTACTTTAAAATAAACTAGTCTATATTGATTCTGACTTTTCTACATCCAACTCACAGGTTTATCATTGCTTTGAGAAAAAAAGATTATTAATTTACCCCTTTTGAAGTGAAGATATAGTCATTTGTTCTGGGAATGTCATTTTCGAGCCTGAGACCTGAAAAACAGGCTCAGGGCTTAAACGGTTAATGATTTGTTATTTGAAAAGAAAATATGAATAGACTTGGACAATTACAGAAATCCTCGATCAGTGCTGCCGTCATTTTAAGTTATGTTGTTGTTGTCGCAGTTCAAGCCATTAGTACGCAGTCAAACGGACTGTTATTTTTTTAGCGGTTACTATGCAATCATTTTCAAATCAACAAAATCATTTTTATTCAATATTGTGAATCAAGTCGTTGGTTTATCAGACAACCTCTACACAAACATAGTGAGGTGAAAAAAAATGGCTAGCTCTCTCCAAGGCTGTCCCCAACAGCTAACCATGAGATCTCATGGACAGAATGCTTGATCTCATGGGATAGCTCAAACCAGATTTCCTCTTGCTTCCACCTTTCTGCGAATGCTACCCTCTTAGTTTGCTCTGGCAAACAGCCATTACCAACGGCTGGGACCCGGCCGAAGAGGCTGATACGTTTTTCCTCGGCTCTTCTTGGTAGCTCTGAAAGGCCAAACCTCCATGCATGGAATTGGACTGGCAATCAAAGACACAAAATATGTTTCAGTAATGGGACAATCCTGGCAGACCCATCACCTAAGGCACTAATTGCCATGACCACAGATACATTCACCGAACTTCAGCGTTCGGTGAATGGCTTCTGGTAACTGTTTGCTTTCTTCTGCCAGCAGTTATGCCCTAATGAACGAAATAGCAGCACTTTCAACCGGTGGCACCCCGACAGTACTTGCTGTTTGAGGACTGCAAACCATTTACATTTTTCATGGCCAATTTGACCGAGCCATGTTCCGCCCACGAGTGCCAGAGCACTAGGTGCATTGCCACATCTTCACGGGCACAGTTCTCAGTGCACGGAAGAAAGTTGGCGATCCTGTACCCCAAGGTTTTACACAAATTCTTACCATTGTAGACAGGACTTTTTGATGTCAAGAAGATGCACACTGATTATCACAGCAACTTCTGAGAAAAGTAATTTTCCAGTAACATAATTCAAAGTGCTAGGAATTGTGATGGTCCCTCATTGGCTATAAATGTGTTTTAAATCAAGTCTTTCTAATGGATTTCAGTTTTGATCTTGTCATAGGAGCTCAAACCATACATCATGGTTATTATCTGTGTATTTAACTGTTAACTGACTGTCTTTTGTTTCTCTCCCTGCCTCTGTTGCTGCTACAGGTTCATACCAGGGTCAGTGGACTGGTGGGATGCGTCATGGCTACGGCGTGCGTCAAAGTGTACCATACGGTATGGCTTCTGTAATACGCTCACCTCTACGAACCTCGCTGTCTTCCCTCCGTAGTGAGCAGAGTAATGGTGCAGTACTTCGTGACAGCCTGTCTGACAGCCCTGCCGGTACACGTGGTGGCTTTGTACTCAACTTCCACTCAGACGGAGAAGGTTCAGAGAAGAAAAAGGGTCTTTTTCGCCGTGGTTCCCTCTTTGGGAGCCTTCAGCGACTGCGCAAATCTGACTCACGATCGTCAATTTCTAGTAAACGCAGTTCAGCACACAGCGACACAAACATGAGCCGCATCAGTTCTAGTGACGCCAATTCCACCATCAGCTTTGGAGACGGAGACACAGGCGATGACTACCTGCCTCTGGAGGACTACGTGGATGCCACCACCACCGAGGCCTACATGGGTGAGTGGAAGAACGACAAGCGCAGTGGATTTGGTGTCTCAGAGCGCTCCAACGGCATGAAGTACGAAGGCGAGTGGTTGAACAATAAGCGCCATGGCTACGGCTGCACTCTGTTCCCTGATGGATCCAAAGAAGAAGGCAAGTACAAGAACAACGTTCTGGCCCGAGGCCTCAAGAAGCAGCTGATCCCGCTGAGGAACACCAAGACCAAACAGAAGGTGGATCGAGCCATCGAGGGAGCAGTGAGAGCGGCAGCTATCGCCAAAACCAAAGTCGAGATTGCCATCTCCAGGTAAAATGTTGCATGTAAGATCATCTCACCTCAAAGCTATAAACGTTCACCCTTTTTTTGCGTTTGTATTAGGTAGGTTGCTATAGAGAGCAGAGGACAGTCTATTGTGCAAAGGTCCCTTGCTGGATTTAAACCGGACCAAATACATTGTTAGCATCCTGAATCCTTACACTACAGAACAGGACACTGAAAATGATAATCAAACAATCAGGTTGGACACAATCACTATCAGTTTGACTCCCAAACAAAGTTCTTATAATCTTGCTAGTGGAGCCTCGCAGATGGGGGTGCTGCAGCCCCCTCAGCACCCCCCCCCCCTTCCCGCGTCGATTCGCGATGTCTCACTGTCTCGCAGATCCCACGCAGCAAGCAGGAAATGAACCCAGCTCACACTGTCCGCTCCTCGCAGCAGCGAGCCGTGCAACGTCCCGCCAACATGGCACCCAGACCCCACGCAGCATTCTCATCTGTTTGTCATTACTGGTGTCATTTTCTGGTTGCTAACGCCATTGTAACACATAATCACTGATGTTCTGCTGTAACGGTGGTGGACTCATCAGAACACAGTGGGCGAGCTGACCAATCAGAGCACAGTGGGCTCATAGGGAGGGGGGGGCAGGAGCTCCAACAAGCCATTTAGGACAGAGAGTGAATACACATACTATACAGAGATGCTGTATGAGAAACCAATGTGAGTTTGGAAAATTGCACAATGTAAATCTATTCTAATAGACCTCAACAATGGAATTATGATCAGTAGAAATGGCCATGACATGGGACCTTTAACATCTAAATGTCCTTTAGCTTACACTTTTACGAAAATGACCTGCATACACCTCAGTACCTTTGTCATGCCTATGGGAGACATTTGGGATTGCCCAAGAACATTTTGACATGTTGACCACTGACCTCCTGAGCACAGTGGCCTAGCTAGAGTGGCGTAAGTTAAGAGTAATAAAGACACTAACGCAACTTCATCAGACTGTTACAATTTCGTGTTTCTAGAATGTTGTCTGTGTGATCTGTTGTTAGCAGGTGCTAGCTCTAATCACGACATTTGTACTGCAACAGCTGTTCCTACAGCCTCCCTCTGCTGATTTTAACAGAGTCCATCATGGATTCAATAAATATAGGTATTTTATAGTAATTATTCTCATGAGTGCTCTAGTTAATAAATGTAATCTTTGAGGAGTGGTTTTCTGAGTTGATGGACATATCAATCATCTTCAGTTGGCAAGGTGATCAGCTTATCGCTGTAGCGCTAACACTTGAAACTGCTGTGGCAACAGAACCCTCCCTAAATGCTTTAATATGCAACTAACAGAAGAAATTCTGCAGTTTTAATTTAAGCACAGTTTTGCGAGCTGCAATTTTATTTGATAAATCTAGCCGGGTTAGTGCAGGATGTCCTATAATGCCCAAGAGCGGTGTCTCTTTGAGCAATCAGTGGTTTTTAGTGTTCAATTTTTTAGCATTGGCTCAGCTAGCTTGGTACTGCAGCTGAGTTGGTATTTTAGAGAAGGTTCTATCCACACTTTTCCTAATGGAAAACTGAAGTTGAGTATAAAGGAGATCATTGCAATCACAACTCAGCAGCATTAAAAGGTAAACCACACATTTGATTAAACCCAGGGCATAACTGATTGGAATATATTTTTTCGTGCTATATTTAAATGCTCCAGTAGATGTCCCTTGATTTAAAGAAAACGTTTTCAAACTACATCCGGTGGCATCATGCTTGACGCTTATTGTTGGTGGGGAATGGAAATAGTTTGACATCCTCCCTAGAACAATCTTTTTATATATATGTTTACATTATATTTTGAATCAAATGTACTGTCTATGTTGTAATGTTATTAGGTTGTTAATTCTGTATACACAACATATTTTGCAGGAGTTTCCATCCTGAGAGAGGGATCTTTACATTGAGATTATGAATACAAGAAGCCAAAAAGTTCCTACGTAGGATTGTCTCAGCTAGTGGCCATTGATTCCTCCTGTGCATATCCTTTTAGAGATTTTCTGGGCACGCCCAACTGGTAAGAGGCCCCGGGTTAGACCCAGAACACACTGGACAGATGATATATCTTGTCTGGCTAAGTATCACTTTGGGGTTACCCGGGAAGAGATGGAAAATATTACTGGGTAGAGGACAATCTGGAATTACCTTGTTAGCCTGCTGTCCCCCCAACCCGGCCCTGGATATATAAAGAAAATTGATCATAGACAGATGTATGTATGTTATACCAACAAATGCATGTAGAGCAGTATTACATAGATACCCATTGATAATTACATTCACAAGAGAGCCCACCTGAAAATCAACCCTCCACAGTCCAGAGCTGAGCCCAGAACAGAGTCCTCTATGCTGCTCCCTCTCAGACACACTATAAGCAGCCTCACAACACTGCTGTCCTAATGCCAATCAGAGTAAAACTAACAATAACGCAATGTAGGGGAAACTATTGAGATCATTAGCAAGAAGAATCCTAAAGCAAGAGTAGATTACAATGTCATCCAGCCCTAAAAATAGAATGAATGAATTGGTAGTCTCTCTGTCAGGGATAGAAAGCAGAGACACGTCCTAACTAAGTACGGTCCTGGCAGCCAGCAGAAAGCTGAATATGGGGTTACCGTTCAACACAGATGCAATTCCTTAAAGAACATTTATTTTTCAAAAAAAGGATAAACTGAATATTGTCTTTTTGTCATGTTAATGTTTGTATCACTTTTATTGTGTGCTGTCCGATTATTTGGACCATTGTTATTTTAATGCTTTGTCAAAATTGTTATTGACATTTTCAAACGAATAAACATTAATATTATTTTATTTAGGCAGGAAGAGATTGTGGGAACACAGTGATAATACAGAGAGAGAGGAAGAGTAGCTGTGTGGGCTGGAGGGAGAGAAGCAAGTAGGCACATTCTTGGCTGTGTGTGTGTGTGTGTGTGTGTGTGTGTGTGTGTGTGTGTGTGTGTGTGTGTGTGTGTGTGTGTGTGTGTGTAGGCCTTTATGTGCGTCAGGAGTAGTGCTTGTCTAAATAAGGCCAAGATGGACAACGCTTATCAACAGCTGACATCCCCCCCTGAGCTACACACACACACACACACACACACACACACACACACACACACACACACACACACACACACACACACACACACACACACTCACAGTCCCAGAGTAGTGTGCTTTATCTGGTATCCTCCTTGGTCAGTGTGGAAGAACGCTCTGAACTCTGGTGACGACATGGCAGACCTTTGGACTCAAGCTCCCCTGCTTTGGTGTCTGTTGTAGATCTAGGCTGATCTTCTTTTTGATTTCACTGGTGTATAAATAGTTCTGCTGAATATTATAATTATATTATATATATATAAGGGGAGTGCATGTTTCCAAAAACCTTGTTAGCTTTGGATCCTTTCATTAAAGGCAACCTATTATGCAAAATATACTTTTTCAAGTCTTTTATATATAAACATGTGTCCCCTCTGTGTAAAGAGATTCTGAAAGTTTCAGAAAAAAAGATTCTCTCACTGTATGTCCTGATCCATTTATATAAAAACCTGTCTGAAAATGAGCCGATCAGATTTTGGCCACTTTATGATGTCATAAGGATGTTTTGGCTTGTCAATCATTCAATGTTTATTTATATAGCCCAATATCACAAATGTTACATTTGTCTCAGTGGACTTCACAGTTTGTACAGAATATCAGTATGACAATACGACACCCTCTGTCCTTAGACCCTCACATCGTACAAGGAAAAACTTCCAGAGAAACCCCACAGTTTAAAGGAACATGTGAGAAACCTCAGGGAGAGCAACAGAGGAGGAGGGACGTGCAATAGATGCCGTGTGTAAATTGAAAAGATAATACATTTGCAACATAGGTAGTCCAAATGTTTGGAAATGCATGTGTCTACAATAAGAAGATGAATCCACGAGGATATCCATCCAGGACTTATGATGCAGGACCACAGCAACAGGCACAGCCACGACTCAAGATCCAGGGCTCGCGATCCAGGACTCAGGACCACAGCAACACGATCAGCCACAACTCAGGATCTCGGCGTAGATAGACACCAAAAAGAAATGTGGGGAAGCTGGGTTATTCAGAACATGAGAGTACACAGGTACAGACAGAGAGAAGGAAGAAGTAAGGTGTCCCCCGACAAACTAAGCCTATAGCAGCAAAACTAGGGGCTGAATCTAATCAATATAAGCTTTATCAAAAAGGAAGGTCTTAAGCGCACTCTTAAAAACGGATAGGGTGTCTGCCGCCCGAACACAAACTGGAAGCTGATTCCACAAAAGTGGAGCTTGATAAGAAAAGGCTCTGGCTCCCATTGTACTTTTAGAGACTCTAGGAACAACCAACAACCCTGCATTCTTGGAACGCAATGCCCTAGTAGGACAGTAGGGTATAATGAGTTCTTTAAGGTAAGATGGCGCCTGCCCATTAAGGGCTTTGTAGGCGAGAAGATCAATTTAAAATTATATCCTGTGTTCTATAGGGAGCCAGTGTAAGGCAGCCAGAACAGGAGTAATGTGGTCCCTTTTCCTAACTCTACACGTGCTGCAGCATTTTTGAGAGGAACGGAAGATTAGAAACAGGTCTATAGTTGGCTAAAACCTCTGGATCGAGGTTGTGCTTTTTAAGCAGAGGATTTATCACTGCTACTTTGAATGATTGTGGAACATAGCCTGATAATAAAGACATATTCATAATATTTAATAAAGAAGTGCTAACTAATGGAAAAACTTCCTTTAACAGCTTAGTTGGAATTTGGTCTAAGATACACGTTGATGGTTTAGAAGAGAGAATCATTTAATTTAATTGTTCAAGGTTTATGGCTGAAAAGCATTCTAATTTACTATCTAGTGTAATATTAGAACTTACGTTTCCGGGAGCTGTTGATAACACTATACTGGTCAAAGGCAAGAGGTCATTAATTTTGTTTCTAAGAGTAACAATTTTATCGTTAAAACAGCACATCAAATCATTACTACTGAGTGCTATGGGAATAGAAGGCTCAATCGAGCTGTGGCTCTCTGTCAGCCTGGCTACAGTGCTGAAAAGAAATCTTGCATTATTTTTATTCTCATCTATTAATGAAGAGTAGTAAGCTGCTCTCGCTTTACGCAGTGCTTTCTTATATTCATTGAGAGTAATATGCCAAATTAAACGAGATTCTTCAAGTTTAGTGGAACGCCATATCCTTTCAAGTTGTCTCGACTTTTGCTTTATTTTGCGGGTTTCGGCATTATGCCATGGAGCTAGTCTATGTTGTTTTATTTTCTTCTTTTTCAAAGGAGCAACAGAGCCTAATTTTATTCGCAGCGCATCTGTAGCACTATCAACAACATGATCAATTTGGGGTGGTGTACATTTTGTATAAGTTTCCTCCCTTACATGCAGACATGCTATCGAGTTAAGTATTGGTGGAATCTCTTCCTTAAATTTGGCTATAGCACTAACAGATAGGTTTCTGCTGCAGGAACCTTTGACTAATGGTTTGTAGTCTAGTAACAGTACTTCAAAAGTTACTAAGAAATGGTCGGATAAAGCAAGATTATGCGGTTCGACTAATAGTTGCTCAATTTCAATAACATAAGTCAGAACAAGGTCGAGAGTGTGATTATAACAGTGTGTTGGTTTATTTACACTCTGACGGAAACCAACATAATCTAATATAGAGTTAAATGCAACAGTAAGGCTATCTTTATCGTCGTCAACATAAATATTGAAGTCACCTACGATAATTACTTTATCTGTTTTAAGTACCAAAGTTGATAAAAACTCAGAGAATTCTGATAAGAATTCTGAACACGGACCTGGTGCACGGTACACTGTAACAAATACGATTGGCTGCAAAGTTTTCCAGGTCGGATGCGTAAGACTAAAAACAAGACTTTCAAAGGAGGTATAATTTAATTTTGGTTTAGTATTGATAAGTAAATTTGAGTCAAAGATGGCTGCAACTCCACCTCCTCGGCCTGTGCCTCGAGGAATATGAGTATTGATATGGCTGGGTGGAGTGGCCTCATTTATGCTGACATATTCTTCATGTCTCAACCAAGTTTCAGTGAGACAGCATATATCAATATTATAATCTGATATTAAATCATTTACCAATATTGCTTTAGATGCTAGAGATCTTATGTTTAAGAGACCACATTTAATCTTCCTGTTTTGTTGCACTGTAGTAGTTGTTACATTTACTTTTATTAGGTTATTATGTATGACACCTCTATTAGGTTTTACCTTAAATTGTCCTTGGGCAGACACACACACACCGTTAATATTGGGTATTTTATTGGGTTCGGGATTCCTATGGATGACTGCCCAGGAGAGAGCGCAGAGAAGCGTGTAAGACTGCGACTCCGCCTCCTGGTCTCAACTCCAGTTTGTCATGGATTAAGTCCACAAAGCTCTGAAATGTTTGCCGAAATGAGATTTGCACCTTCCAAAGTAGGATGAATGCCGTCTCTCTTAATCAGATCAGGTTTTCCCCAGAAGGCTGTCCAATTATTTACTAAGCCCACATCATTTGCTGGGCACCACCAAGACAACCAGCGCTGAAATGATGACATGACATGTCGTCATTGATCAGATTGGGGAGGGGACCAGAGAAAATTACGGTGTCCGACATTGTCTTAGCATAACTACACACCGACGCCACATTAACTTTGGTGCATTCTGATGTGCAAATATCTTGTGTGACCATTAGCCAATCAGCAACCAATGTAACCCCCCCCCCACCTTATCACCTGAATCTCCTCCGATGCCCCTTTCACACCAACGCGTTTTCAGCTCCGGCTCGGAGCTGGAGCCTGAAAAGTACAGTTTTTTCCTGTTCACACCGCAGCGGCGCCGCCTCTTAGCTCCGGAATGCGGTTCACTTCCAGCTCCAAAAAATTGTCGGTCTAGAAGCAAGAGCTTCGGAGCTAAGAGGCGGCGCCGCTTACGTCTCTCTTACGTCGAGGCGTGCAGGAAACTAAACCCACCTCCCCTGAACATGCCATGGGTCGACTGAAGAGTCTCATCATGCCTGCCTACAAGCAGTAGCGCTGAGCAAAGTGACTAGAAGGCAACCACACACTTATAAAAAAAAACACACTTTATAAAGTCAGGCAACACTAACCAGGCTTCGTGTGATTCTGTTTATTTGTACCTTACTTTGACCATCCGTTCGCTGTTATTGATCATTGTGGAGAGCAGGCAGACGTTTTGTTTGTTATTATAGCAGCTATCGGATGGAATCAATACATGGGCTGCACAGGTTGTCATGTCCGACTATCACAAGTAGAATCATAATGAAAAATACGCCGGTAAAATGTGCCTGTAGAAAACGGCTTAGCAAGTAGTCAGTTTAGCTTCGGTTGCTATGCTAACATCACCCATGTTATACCAGAGAAACTTTCATAACAGCGTTGTGATGCCAAACAGCGTCAATTCAGACTGACACACATTCACTTAAAGGGAACTGGGGATATGTATCAGCTGCTTGTGTGACAGTCAGACAGTGAATACTTTAGAGCCGTGTGAGCTAACCCGGAGCTAACGGGAGAATAAACTCCCGTGGAAGAGCAGCCAGCACTGCAGCGGTCGGTAAATGCCGCTGAAACACATTAATAAACAATGAACCACGGCACTCTGGAGAAAAGTATAAGGTTGGAGAAGTCGTTATTTAATTTAATCTGGCTTCGTATGATTAAAAGCAACACGATCATCGACCCAACGCAGTCCCCCGTTGTTGTTGTTGTTGTGAGCTCCGTTGGGGAGAAAATCAGCGATGTAAACGGTGACGTTATGACGCAGCAGCGGCAGCACCATCCCGGCTCTGAGTGGTGTGAACAGAGCGGGAGCAGAAAAGGGAAACCGGAGCTGAACCAGAAAAGCTCTAGCTAGGAGCTAGAAAGGGAAAAGCGCTGGTGTGAAAGCCGCACTAGAGCACCATTGTGTTCTTTTTAACCAAATATCTCTCAGAGGGGCGTGGGGAGTGGCTCCTTATTTTCATCTAAAGTAACAGACAGAGAATCAGCACTTTGGAAACAGGGCTGAAACAGAGGGGATTATCGGATGCTACAATGCACAATCTGATTGGTATTTCGAGCCAAACACATCGGAGACTTGTTTTGTATATATATGAGACCTATAATATATTGATGAAAAACAGTATAATAGGGGACCTTTAAAATAGCATAGTTAATGCTATGTTCGCGAAAAGCTAGCAGCCGACACTGATGTACAGGTTAGCCTTGATAAATTACTGACAGTTTCCTACGACGATATGCATATGTAAATGGAACATAGTTGAACTACAAAAAGCAGTAGCATTGCTTTACGAAAAGGATAAATGGTCTTGCCAATAGACAAGCAAAAATAAATATATCAATAAGGACAAAATTAGAGTTATAGAGAACAATGGTATTAATAATAATCACTGTTATGTTAATAATAACATGAGTAAATGCATTGAAAATAACAATGATATAATATAATAATAATGATAAATACAGAAAACCTAATGCTTGAATATTTCGTAAATAAGCATTGTGTTGACATAAACATCACTAAATATTTGTAGGACAACACATCGTTAAGCTTCCCAGGCAGCAGCTTACACACAAACACACTTTAACACTTGGTAGTATTCTTATCCAATATACAGAAATCTTTGTTCAGACATATATTCAATTAACCATGTCTAGCAAAATGGGGAAGTTTACCATTCAAGTAACTGAGCCTATGTTTGTTATTTGTGTGTTTCTGCAGGACAGCCCATGCCCGGGCCAAAGCAGACTCTGCAGACCAGGCGGCTCAGTCAGCCGGGCAGGACTCTGATATTGCCAGAACCGTGGCCAGAGAGCTCTCTCCAAACTTCCATCAGCCAGGTACAGTACAACAACAGCACAGTACACGTTATTCTGTCAATAATGTTACAGAAAGCAGAATGTGTAACTTTGAACTCTATTGGGCTTTTTCAAAAATGTTGCAAATTGCATGATCTTTTACAAATAGTATTCCCATTGGTCTTGAAAAATGTTAGGAACATATCAAAGTTCCTATTTCTGTCTATTTTATTTTTAGCAGCTGAACAACGAATTGGAACTAAATAACTGTTTTGATATCTTCCAGTCAGAATTTTGACCACACCACAACATTAGGACTGCTCTTGTTAAGGTCTTTCATGATGTCCACACAGACATTGGCGGAATCTCAGTATTATTATTGGACTACTATTGTGTAGTGTTATTAGATATTTGTGCTGCCTTGGACACAGTCGACCCCAACATATAGCTATATCAACTGAAAAACGGGATGGGACTTTTTGGCCCCTTACCTTTGAATCTTAAAGAATATGGGGAAATATTTTTTTAAATGTAATTGCAGATCTAAGCAGACAGATTTGATGAGGGGGTTCCTCAAGGCTCTATCTTAGGGACCTCTTCTCTTTAACATCTACATGATATCAGTATTGAAATATTAAATAAAAGACCCACTTGTAAATCAAAATATTATCAAAAGAGTTTATTCGACATCAGGACAATTATTGGTTATTTAATGATCGTTTTTGGGGGGATTTTAACATTTCCTGATGATGTTATCTTCCCATTTTATGAGATTTGAAGGCATAATTATTAAATGAAATTACATTATAGAGTGTTTCAAACTTTATCAGTAATATTAAACTGTACTGTCCAGCAGAGGAAGAAACATGAATACTCAGATGTGTATTTTTTACTTCAAAGATTGCTTTAAATAATCGTTTAAACCTGTGAAATGTCTTGATTATCCTACATTTCTGTAATGAAGCTTTAGCCCCAGATCTCAACAATTATTTGAATGAGTAAAGTTTTATCACAAGAGATGGACATGATGGTCTGCTAAAAAAAGACCCAAGCTGTTATAAACAAAAAAAGGGATGTTTTTTATGGGCAATTTTCACTGTTGTATTTAACTACATATATATATAAATTGCTTTAGTAATGTGTTTCTGTGTGTTAAAACCTTTCTTAAATCTTATTATGATTTCAGGCCCTGACTACATACGGCAGAAGTATAATGAGCCAATAGAGGTGAAGGAGGTTCCTGTGGAGAAAAAGGAGAAATCTCCAACAGGGAGCCCTCATTTCTACCGGAAGGGCACAACACCCGACCAGTCTCCATCTTCAAGCCCAGTTCCCAGCCCCACTCCTTCACCTATTGCTGTAAAAAGTACAATTTTTAGCAGTAAAAGTCCCGCCGCAGTCACTCAACCAACTGCACGACCAACGACAGCAGGTAAACAACTTTTTGTTTCATTTGACCAGCTTGTCTTTCTCATGAAACAATTAACAGTCAGCAAGTTAACATGGTACATTTCTTGATAATTTTACAACACAGATGTTCCCCCTCCAAAGTTCACACACATACAACATATATTTAAGTTGGAAAATAAACTGTGGATACTGCAGAAACAATGCAACCAGCAGTTTTTGCAGTACCTGACTCAGAAAGCAGGCAAATTGAGTATAAAGTACGGGATAGTCCCTTCTTCATCAGTTTATTGTTACTTTGCACTTTTTCGGAATATTATTAACAGCTACAATAGGTCGTAATGGGTCACAATTTACTGGTGATCAGAAATGGACAGATTTTATTGCTACTATAATAAATTACTAGCAATTTTCGACTCCCATTCATTCTTTAACACACATTCAAACACACAGAGGGCAGTGTTACAATGCAACACATTGGCCTGAGCATCAAAAGCTATTTTTGTTAAGTGTGTTTCCAAATGACATGTGGACAAGATGAGGATCAAACCGCTTACCCTGCAATCATCTTACAACACAGCTACCAACCAACACAGTGTTTGTCGTTTCTTTGGTTAACCATTATTTTCTCTTTTCCATTCTTCTACTTGGCAGGCATAACAAAGGCAGCCTCAAAACTATCTCTCAAACAGGAAGTGAGGCAACAGGAGGCTCCTCCAGCAGTCAAACCAGCTGTAACATCAGCAGGTGGCGGTAAACCTAGCAACGGGCAGATTCACTCCCAGTACCATGGTTACTATGTCAAGGCAGATGTCAAGATACCGCCCCCCGAAGAACCAACTGGTGTGGAGGACGACCTTCACCCGGCAAGCCTTGCACGCTTGCCACCCCCCGCCAAACCACTTTGGACTTCAGCACCAAAATCCCCACCCACCCCTACCCCTTCACCAGCTCCACCGAAAGAGAGCACAAAAGCACCAGAGCCCCCCAAGCCAAAAAGACAGGAATCAACCAGACCAAAGAGCCTTGCAGAAACCAAGAAAGCTAGTATGGAAATAGTTCCTGAAATTGTAGAGGAGGAGTCGGTGAGTTAGACAAAGTTACTACATGTTTGATTCAGATTTGCAGATTGAGTGCATTGTTTCATACCCGCTGGGGGAAACCCATGGATGTACAAAGAGATCTGGATCAGCGTCGGAGTTGGGGACCCGTTCGTTCCTATGAGAGTTGCCCTGTGGTGCATGAAGCCCAACATGGAGCGATTGTAGATTCAAAAAGTAGAACCATAGGGGCACTATTTTATTTTAATAAACACAATTGTATACCTTATCCAAAACACATAATAATCTTAATTCAATATTTAATGATTACATTACATTACATGTCATTTGTTAGACACTTTTATCCAAAGCGACTTACATACTCAATACTGTGGACAATCCCCACAGGAGCAATTAGGGGTGAAGTGTCTTGCCCAGGGACACAACGACATGCTGACTGCAGTGGGACTCGAACTTGCTATCCCCTGATTCAAAGTCCAGCACACTAACCACTGAGCCACAGCCTCCCTTGATATGATAATAGGTTTTCTGTATGCTTCTTATATCTAAAACCTTTCTTTCATTGGATTGTAGACAAAAGGTGTAGACTGTGAAAATGTGTTTTTTTCTAATATCAGTCAGAGTGCTGTAATCCCCTCGTCAGAAAAAAAAGCAAAAATAGAAAATATTGGAGAATTACACACATAGGGTACAAAATGAACAATATTCTTAAATTGCTTACTGCCCTGTGTTAACCAGCCAATCAGCAATGTAGTTTGTTAACCAGTTGGGCATTCACTACATGTGTGTGTTTGTGTTCCATACAGTATGTGTTAAACTAGCATTGCTTCATCCAGAACACATAATGCAACATAAACTCTTCTTGTGTCTTCACAGGGCCCGAACTCTATCTTGGTGGCTTTAGTGATGCTGTTGAATGTAGGCCTTGCAATCATTTTTGTCCATTTCCTCACCTGACCACATCTGAACCCAGGTAAGAGTTTACTAAAAGTTCTAAAGACAATCTGCTTAGGACTAAAACTGAACATGAACTGGAACAGTGGTCGTGGTTAGTTTATGAATGGTTCTGTGTTATGTGAATCATTTTAAACAATTCAAAATCAGGTGAATGTTTAATGCAAAGTGGTATGTATACATTGTTCATATTCTCTCTAAATGATAAGTTGTTTATTTTTAATGAAGAACCTAAGCTGTATGTTTGGCAGTAAAAAGAGACATCAACATGCTTCTACCTAAATTCAATGTTTGCTGACTTTGCACTCAGTGATTGTTTCTTTGCTGTCTTCTCACATCTTCCTATAACATATGACCGTTCTTACTTATGATATCACTTGTTGATTAAAGCAACACTGTTATCAGACAAAGGTAGATAAGGCAGGCTTCTCATTTCTAACAACAATGCATTCCCTCGCCGGCATGCAGCTAGCTAATAAGTGCATTGCAGAGCTAGTTGGTGTTTTAAACGTATAAGATATACTTTATTAATCCAAATTTGGAAGTTACAGCAGCATTGACCATCATTAGAAATGTAAAAGAGTAGAAAATAAACAATTATAAAATATAAACATTTCAAAAATAGTTGACTGTTAAGTTTGTCTAACTATCTGACAAATAAAATGTAAGGAGAAATTATTTAGCTTTCATACTTGTTCAAAATTGTAACAATAAGTTTCACTTTTATATTACACGAGAACGGCTAATTTATGGTTTTGGCAAAAATGCAGCCCTATCTCTACGGGAGTATAAACTTCTAGGAGCTTCCAAAGCTACACACTGGGTGTGCTAGTTGTGATAGTGGCTTTTTAACAAATCCTGTAACCCCACACACTTAATGATATGTAACTTTAGTTTTTTATGTGATATTGCTAGGTAATAAGCCAGATGACATGCTGGTGTTAACCGTTTAGGTTAGAAGATGTTGAGACACAAATGATTTATTCTAATTCTCCTGTTACACTTTTCCTCTTTTGTTTTAACTGTTGTTGTTGTTGGTTTGTGGAATATTACAGAGAACAAGATCTTTGCTAAACACACATCTGTGGTGAAGGATAGTTTTGACTTATTAACACCACTTTAGGCTTTAAATGAGCTATGAGTGGAATAGCTGCGCATCACCTCTGCTAAGCTAAAGGCTAATACATGTCTTGATGACATTCAACAGTTGGGTATTTACTGATGTATGTTATGTGGTAGAACATAACATACAAATCTCGTAAGCTTGTGTTAACCACCAACCTTATTTTGGGCATTTTATCAAAAACATGTTTAAAAACTCTGGACTTAGAGACAAGGGAACTGTAAGTGGTAAAATGCTAACTTATGTCAAGGTTTTAGGACTCATTCCTGCACTACTGTATTGCTCTTAATATCTGCATACAAACTTAATGATATTTAACTTGCCTCATTATTTAGACTAATCAGAAGCTTGATAGGCCAGACCTAGTTACCTCATAATTAAGCTATGACTGGACTATCTTGTTTTAGGAGGGATGTAGCAAGTCATTGACTGACTCTGTTACAGAGAATATTGGAAGAAAAAAATAAGAATAATACAAATGTATAGTAATCAATGTTTTAAAATTATTTTAATGCATGTTTTGTTGCACTTTCCTCCCCACCCCTCATGAATCTGTGCACAGCAGTCATTATGTCAGGTCTGATTTAAATGATTGGACTTGCTTATAAAGCGCTTCTTATATATAGATAGCAGACTCTAGCTTTAACCTGTTCAACACGGAGGCCCCCGCCTGCGGGGGCTGCGTTTTTTTTTTCACAAAACTGTGTCTCACGGCTTCTTAACATTTACAAACCTATTAATGTGTCATACCCATTTAACGGGAAGAAACTCAGCTAACTGACAATAAGAAACCATCTTTACCGAAACAAAACACAAGTCTCACAAGAAGCGTCTAAATGAGCCCTGAGCGAAAAAATGCTAACACACTTAGCACAGAACTCTAGGTATAAATACCCTTATTACATATCGGATCTACACAAACAAAATATCGATTAGCAAGCTGGGATTCCACAGATTCTAGGGGTATAAGTATCATCACTGAGCGATCTGAACTTGTGACAGGGGAAGCAAACACAGACATCACAACACAGAGCTTTACGGAGCAAAAACGGGACATTATCTTAGCTATGCTGTTGTTCTGATCAAAAGTTGTGTTCAATGGCATTAAAACGATAAAAACGCTGCTGAAGGTTAATCCATAGGTTAATCCAATGTGTCTGAAATGATTACTGATAATCCATCTTCATATTTATGTCAATAACGGAGTTTTCATATATAGTTGCTATGAGAGCTACCAGAGTGTATGACAGCTTCCGGTTCCGGGGCATTCTGGCTACGCATCACTCATTCACCAATGGGTAATGTTTAGATGGATTTTAGGAACTTCCCCTCAATTTTATTGGCTCTATCGGTTAAAAAGAGGTGTCAATCATCAACATCGACCGAGGGGGGCCAGAGATATGGAAAATCCACCCAAATGACCCCAGAAATTGTTTTATTTTGCTAAACCTCTCTTAAAAGGTAAAATGTCACTTGATTTGCATCAATCTTGATACAGGGTACTTATTATATGTTATAGTTTGGATTCCTAAAGCTTTTAGTCTACTATCCCATCATTCAAGGGTGGTTTTCACTATAAGTAATGTTTTTTTTTTGGACGGACACTATAATTTACATTTTTAACTATGTTCAATCTGAATTTACTTTAAAATAAAGAAATTATATGTTGATTCTGACTTTTCTACATCCAATTCACAGATGTAACCTTGCTTTGAGAAAAAAGATTATTAATTTACCCCTTTTAGAAGTGAAGTTATAGTCATTTGTTCTGGGAATGTCATTTTCAAGCCTGAGACCTGAAAAACAGGCTGAACAGGATAATATATTATGTGTGTAGTTACAATGTGTCATTCAATAACATGTATCCCTAATCCCAACTCTTCTGACCCCTGCAGTGGACTCATCCAAACGCCCAGGTCGCTAACTCTCCATCAGCCAGAGGGGCCTTCTACAAAAATGGCGCCCCTCGGAACGGCAGACACGGGCAAAACGGAGGACTGGAAATAGACGAGTGAAGGTGGAGAAGACGTGTGGGGGTGGGGGGTGGGGGGGTACACGTGGAGGCGAGAGAGAGGAAAAATTAGAGAGAAAGAAAGATGAAACCTCCACTACCGCCACCCCCCAGCCCCCCCTCTCTGGATGGACTGAATGAATGTCTTTGGTGCTGAAGTCCAACTTGATTGGACTGGCGATGATTTGTGACTCCACTTAGAGTGCAGTGAAAGCTGAAGCAAGCAGTTACTGGTTTTGAAAAAAGGGCCCCTGAGCCCCCCAACTATGGAGTCTCTATCAGGCTTAGCAATCACAGGAGGCCTGGAGAGTGGCGTGAAAGTGAGTGAGCGTGAGGCCTGGCATTGCTAAATGCCTGCGGTGTGTGTGTGTGTGTGTGTGTGTGTGTGTGTGTGTGTGTGTGTGTGTGTGTGTGTGTGTGTGTGTGTGTGTGTGTGTGTGTGTGTGTGTGTGTGTGTGTGTGTGTGTGTGTGTGTGTGCTCGTCTGTCTGTAGCTCCATTTCCATCCAACTGTTCAGAAAAATGTGGATAAATGCTAAAATAAAAAGTTTGTGCGCCGTCCAGATGAGTTCAAGAGAATTTGTTTGAGCATCCAGAAAAACAGAGCGACTTACGGTGTTACTTTGTAATGAATGCCATGTTGGGCCTAGGCCATGCTTTCAATCAATTGAACTACCATCAGATACTTCCGGATGGACAATATATTTAGAACAGATTGTTGAAATCAGAAAGCCAATTTGGAGCTGTAGTACACTTTAATTGAGCTCTTCACCGGAGCCTTTATTTCTGATTCAGTCAACGCTGCCAAACTAGCTTCAGTGAGCATGGAAAAGTTGTTGCGATGGATGAGGAACTTTTGTTAAACTTCTACTCTTACATAAAAATCCACACAAAAGTCTTTGGATGGAAACCAAGCTGGTAAATATCTCAGTGTATTTCACACGTGTCTGCTTCTGCTTTGTGTGTGTGTGGGCATGTGTGTGACTTTTTGTGTGCTTGCGTGGGTGTATGTGTTCCGAATGGGTATGTTCAGAGATGCACTTTGAGCTGATGGAAGCCGACAGCTGCCTTACTATTTTACAGAGTGACGTGGTGGTGGGTGAGGAGGCCCAGGCAGGAATGTGAAACGCTCGGCTGATTCTCCCCTGGCCATGTCCTGGGAGAGGGGCTCTATTTCTATCAGTCTGTCAATCGATCTGTTCATATCTGTTTTGATCTGTTTCCGTGGGGCCTGCCTGCTGTTTTATCTTTATATTTTTTTCTTTCCTATATATATATAAATATATATATACATTCAAAAATCAGACAATCAGAGGGGTATAACATTTGTAAAATATAACCACCCTGATTTTTTAAAAAGATTCTCTGCAATTTTGCAAACCCGATTACTCCATAGTGCATTGAAGAGTCTTTAATTGGACAGATCAAAGACTCCTTTTGACATGGTCTTCACTAAATGTTTGTTTATGTTTATTTAATTTATGTTCCCTCATTACATTGCCTCATGTAATCCTTATGATCAAACATGGAGAATGGTAGCTGTATAGCACCATATCGGATCAGAGGCCCTATTGTGCTTTGGGGGTTTTCCCTTTCCTGTAGTGTGTTCTATACAGTAGGTGTTTGTGCATGTACATGGGCTGCAAAGGATAACATCGCTGTGTTCCCATCATTTTAGCAGGATGTGGCCCCATTAATGACGCCCTATTTCATACATTTAGATTCACCTCCTGTTATCACGAGGTCCTTAGATAAAGAGGCACACCAATACTTGGAATGTAAAATTCCCTGTTGGTATTTGTAGTCTGCTGTGGTTTGAATCAGGACCGATGGACGGACAGATACATAACATATTGAATTCTTCCTGACACTACAGAGCACAAAGTGGAATGTGTCCCATACTTCCAACATGTCATCATGTGCTGCAGCTCATACTCTTTTTTTGTTTCATTTTTATTTTATATATCATGCTCCACAGTATATTAAAAGTTATTTTATCATTTTAGAATTATGTTCAAATCATTTTTAGGGAAATCTTTTTTAATTGATGTAAAGGATTTCTCTTATGTCATACAGTTTCTACAGAATGAATATAGTGTAGGTGCCTCTGTCACTCACAGTGGTTATTTTGCAGTATTAACATATTAACTAGTGCAAAGACATAGGATTTTAATAACACAGACTCATAATAACAATATTAATCAGCCCTTTGAAGAATGAACTGCTTTCCTTTGGTTGTTTTCCGTTACAGCTTATATTCAGCCACAGAGCCCTGAGGCTGAAAACATATTATTTATTTATTCATATTTTGATGGGAAAATATGCAGTTTTTACCAATAAAATAATGTTTGCTAGCAGAGCTGAATAATGATTAACAGTAGGTGTCTAATATTTCATGTATTTGTATCACTGATTTGATCATGATACCTGTTCTGAGTAACAATTGCCTCATGATTCATTTTCAGATATTGTTAAATATTCAATATATTACAGCAAGCTAAAATGTCTACATGTCTATACGCTTTATTTTATGGGTTTGTAAATTACTAAAATGATGCATAAAGTTATACTTCTTACTAGGAAACTTTTCATAAAATAATTGGTAAATTATGGGCTTGAAATATCTTGTTTGGATGTTTTTATTACTTACATTTTGCATTCAGTTATAACTGTAACAAGATGCTTTATTTTGCGTAATTAAATGCAATCACATTTTTGGTTAAATTATTTACATTGTATTTTTTTGTCAGATTAGTGATATGATAACAGTAATTGTTATCTCTGGCCATGCTATAATCCTGTAAATGTAACCGTAGTAGCCGAGAGCGAGGTTAGCTTTCACTTTGTTTGGCGTCTGCATTTCTCAACAGAATGGGCCTTGAGATCATTATGAGTTATGGTTTTCATGTTTTTAATGTATTCTAAGCTGCTGGTGTGTGATTGGTGGTTTCAACATAAAGAGTTTGCCCTTTGAAATTATCCACTACTAACACGCATGACGCCGCACCGAAAACATATTTATATATTTTGATGAAGATAATTTATTTGAACTCTTAAATAAGTTTACTTTTGGAGAAAAATCATCGTCTTAAATCTGTTTCCACCCTGATAACATTGTGGTGCTGAGTTTAGCATGCAGATATCGGCTGGTTTTGTTTGGTTAGATTGGACGTCAGAGTAGAATATATTGTGTGTGTGTGATTAGGATTCAGAGTTTGGTATGGATTGCAGAAGGTAAAGACACTGTGGGAAACTTGTTTGCAAAATGAAGCTTTTAAAACTTTTTATTTAAAAAGCTCCATTCCCATTGTTTGAGAACATCAGAACGTCTTCTTCATTCCAGCACTGGGAATTTAGTGTGGTCCACCATCTCCATTTTTTATAATAACACAGATACTCCGAATAATAAATAGTAAATAGCTCAAAGTCTATAATACACTCGTTAAAATAATCTTGAGAGTATACAGCTACCACCCTGTACTCAAAGATCAGCTAAGTGAGAACAAACATTGATTTATTTTATATACCATACAAATTAGGAGATAAGAAATGTGTTACTACATGCACATCCCCGGTGGCTCTAAAAAAACATGTGGATCTTTTGAAAATACGTGGATCCTTGAAAATAAGTGGATTTTGTTTTTAATAGTTGGTGTGTGTCCTAGCTTAAACAGGCCGTCAAATTGTGGCGGACCCTCTACAAAAGCAATACATTTTCCATGAGGTCTTAAATAGTGTTTTCACAAAATAAGTGGAGCTTTTGTAAATCTCGATTTCCTTTCATGTGTATTTAATATTTAGATTTTCGGTTCCCAGTTTTAGGGTCTAAGAGATCCGAGTTGACAGCTTTTTATCAAGGCTGGTTTTCACTTTGGAGTGACTTATCAGCAGAACGAGACACTTTTTAAAATAATGAATGAATTGAAAAGCCATTGAGTGGGAAATAGCCTATAGATATTACAAATCACATATGTTAAATTAAATGTATTTTAAAGGATATTATAAAGGTCTTCTTTTTCTTTGGAAAAGGGTTACAGTAGATGGAAGAAACAGAGTTCTGAGATAATGTGCAGACAGTGAGCAGATATGGTGTAGAGTTGTGACTTCTGGTGAAGCTTCTTGAAGATCGCCTGAACTTACAGGTGGAAATAATCAACGTGATGGTGTAGAGTGGTGCAGTGATGACGTGTATTTATTGAGGCCGACCTGGAAGTTAGCATCACAAGAACTCACTCAACAAAAGGGAAGGGAAATTGGATTTTGGAAAATGCAGAAACTAGGGTCTTCTGCAAAAACACATTTATGATACACATTTTGTTCAGCAGGATCATCTTCACATATATCCTCAGCTTTATGATTTTTGAAGCTTAAATGCAATCGCCAGAAGTGAAAGCTAGGATATAAAGGAACTACATCACCGCCACATGGCTGCGAGTCACCACTGCTAAGCTAAAAGCAGCTAAGGTTCGGCGTTATGATGTTATGTAGTCTATTTTAGTAACTTGTTACAGCTCTTTTAAGCTTTTTGAAGCGTAAATGAAATTGCCAGAAGTAAAGTGCTAACGTCAGGCTATAAACCTGCTACATTGCGGCCGCGTCACCACCGCTAAGCTAAAGGCGGTTAGGTGTGATGAAGTTTAGTATTTAGCAACTGCTAACAAGTGTTGTTTTAATCACACATAGAAACTTGGGACATTCAACACTGGGGTATTTGCTGACTTATTTTATGTTGAGGAAAAAAAAGCGTTAACTTTGAGAGGAGGGAACTGGAAGTGGTAAAATGCTAACTCATGCTCATTCCTGCACCACTCTACTAAATCACAGTTAGCATGCAGCGGGATGGAAGTCTGATCTCAAATCTGCATTAGACCCACTCTCCAGCAAGAAGCTTAAACATATCATGATAATCTTCCTAATAATTGTTTTGTTATCTTTTGCTTTCTTTGCTGGAGTTTGGGAGTTGTTCAGTTTAAAGCAGACGCTACTAACATCATGCTTCACTCAGGTCTGATCTTAGGGAGGTTTGTATTGTTAGAGAAGGACACAGAAAGAATGGGCAGATTAAATGTTTCTGAGGGGAACAGGGGAGAGAATGTGACAGTCTCGTTGTATCAGGAATGTTTTTGTAGGCTAAACTATAATTGGCCCAAATTTGAAATTGATCCCGGGTTATTCGTTGCATGATAGCAGTCACTGTGGAGCTGTTTTTAAGCTGCTCTGTGAAATAGGTGTTGACAAATCAAGGAGGAGCCTTTAAAGTGCGTATGTGTGTGTATGGAATGAGCTCGAACATCTATTTGTACATTATGACCCCGACAGGAAAATCTCTTACATCTCATTTTTGTCTCTGTATAGATTTTTACATCACTGTATATTGTGTTTGGTTT